TTATTATTTTTTTTGGTACAATTATGTTCGAAAGGAATAAAAGTATTTTGATTACTAATTAGTTTAATATCATTTTATATCAAAGCTTAATTAGGTATGAGCTAATTACATATTTTATTATTATTATTTTTTTTTGGTACGATTATATATCAAAGCTTAATTATGTATGAGCTAATTACATATTTTTTTTGGTACGATTACTAATTAATTTAGTATCATTTTATATCAAGGCTTAATTATGTATGAGCTAATTACGTATTTTATCATGTGAGAGGTCAGGGTATTAAGTAATAATATCTTGGGTCACTGGATATTTGTGGATTGTTCCCAGGCAGTGATAACAGAAATACATGACTGATACTGATCGGCCACTTACGCGGCCAATCAGTATCAGTCATGTATTTCTGTTATCACTGCCTGGGAACAATCCACAAATACCCAACGACCCAAGATATTATTATTACTAATAACAATTATTATAAAACGCACCTATGGTGTTTTAGCACCATATATAATTGTATTTAATAAAATTTAGGATTAGGGTTTGGGTATTAAGAATTTTTTTTTTATAATTTAATATAGAACTAATGTAAGGCCCGATCTCAGCTTTTGTAAGGTTTTTGGGGTCCTGAATATTTTTACTTAGAGTACCTGATCCTATTTACTTAGTACATAATAATATATAAGTATTTAATTAAATTATATTAAAAAAACTAAATATATAAATATATTATATTTTTATATAAATATCTAATTATCTAATTATATTATATTGCATAAAATAGTTATATATATAATTATATTTAAAATATATAAATTTATATAAATATTTAATTACATTATACTAAAAAAAATAATTATATAATTATATTTAAAGCATATTATTTATACATATAAATATTTTAATATCGTATATCGGTAATTATTCATATCTCATTATAATTTTATTGATGAAATAATATAATCTATTACAACCCTTTTTTTTTGTACCGTACCTAAAAGTATATACATAACCTTGAGTACGGTATATTTTTTTTTATATTACCTATCTTTTTTTTTTCATACCGTACCCAAATTGTTAATACTAGATGAGTACGGTAAACTTTTTTTTATTATGTATTTATTTTTTTGCGTACCTAGCACCAAAAAAAAAAAGCTTGGTACGGTAATTATTGTTTTTTTGTGTACCCTGCTCAAAAAAATTTATTTGGGTACGGTCACTTTTCTGTATCGTACCCTACCAGATACTTTTTTCTGTACTGTACCGGAAAGGTATATACTCATTCTTAATGTTTTATTTATTTATTTTTTTTTACTATTAAGTTTAAAATTAGCATATGCATAAAATAAAAGTTTAACTTTTCGACCTTTTATATTACACTTTTACTAACTTTCTCGAAAAATCATAAAACTTTATAGTCTATTTATTTTTTTCCGTCGTTGGTTATGCGCATAATCTCTACATATGATAATAAAATGAATAATTTCGTTAAAAAAAGGGCGATCATTATTACTATACATGCGGCAACGTGACACTCATATAGATACGTATGTACGTACGTACGTACGTACGTAATGTTAAACTTTAGATTTCATTTGAATACTATTTGTTTATGTCTCCATTAACTTGTTAGAGATTAGAAACGCGAAAATTATGCTGGTTGATTATCATTCTGGATCTACCACTGCACATTAAGTATAACATCTTGAATTACATAACAGATAACATGTTGCATAACAGGGTAGCATAGTGATGGCGCAAAAATTTGGCGGTCCTGCCAATCGGACCAAAACTTAAGCTTGAAAAATACCTAAGATGGGTAATATCAATCCATCTTAGGTATTTTCAAGCTTAAGTTTTGGTCCGATTGGCCCGATGGTTGTATCATCTTCGATAAAAAAATCTATACCGTATAAGCGCGAAATGACGCGCAGGGGCGTTACTTTGAATAATGGCCCAAATTAGGCTTAATTTAGGCCAAAATTCGAAATTACACCCCTGCGCGTTATTTCGCGCTTATACGGTATTAATTGCTTTCGGATTTACAAAAAAGATTCAATACAATGGGATGAGCCAATAAACCTTGAAAAGTTTAACATGATTAGAAGAGACCAATTGTAGGGTATATTCTTTTCACGTCATTCAACAATCGTTTTTTTTTTTTTTTGTATACTAGTTTTACGCTGACTACATTCCTGGTTTTAATGCTTATATTCATCTATTCTTGGTTTATACTTGTGGCCGAAATATTTCGACTATTTTGGCAACTTGGCAAATGCTTAAAGTAAAATTATCAATAGTTTTGTAAAGGTAGAAATCAGCTAAGCTAAATTCGCAGAAACTTATGAAAGGTCCTTTGGTGTCTCGGTTTTTCAGAATAATTTTTGGAAACACATATTTAATAAATAGCCGAAATTTCAAAGTCTAACCGAAATTATTCTGTAAAGCCGAAATACCGAAGAGTCTTGCATAAGTTTCTGTGAATCTGGTTTAGCATATGAAACTAATTTCTTCCACCTTTACAAAATTATTGTTAACTTTACTTTAAGCATTTCGAAATGGCAAATATTTCGGCCACAAGTATATCTTGGTTTGGCGTGACTGTGTTACATAGCTATTTAGCTATATATTATATTTATTATAATGTTACGTATTATCGTATTATCAAATACTAAGGTACTATAATATTATGATATTATGTCATTAATAACATTACGCATTACGGCTAGAGATGGGTTTCATGCGTGCGCAGGATTCTTTAATCGTGCGCATTAATGCGCATGTTTCGGAATCATGCACATTTTATCCCATCTAAATTTTATATAGGAAAATTAAAGTATATGTAATTTAGGCCAGAGAGCGTAGTATCTGGCGGAATTAAAGAATATGGATACAAAGTCTCGAAAAATTCCGAAAAGAAAATGAATGAAAATAAAAGAAGAGCAAGATTGGAGTAAAAATTTGAGCTCGTATCCGATATTTTTCGAAGGGAAAATATAAATTCCAAAATTTATATCATGCGATATCATGCGCATTTTATATAAAATGCGCATTCATGCGCATATTATTATAAAATGCGCATTTTTCCCATCACTAATTACGGCATATAATATTTACAACAATTAGCTTCTATGCCGTAATGCTGTAATTCAGTAATTCTACCACAAACACCATACAGCACACGACTAAAAATATATTCATTTGGATTTTAATTTTTAAAGAAAGATAAAGCTATCAGCTGTTGCAGCATGTGAATTGCTAACTTTCCAAATAAGAAGATTACAACCTCCAACTATTTCATTCTTGCTATTAATTTTAAAATTTGAACTTTATATTGAAAAAAAAATATACATATGCAGATACTAACAATAAGTACTACCCAGACATGAGCAAATATTTTTAGCAACCATTAAAACTTTTCATATCTCACTAATCTTGTTGAGGGTCAATAAGAATTTTACTCTTACCACCTCCTGCAACAATTTTCACCCTTGTTTTCATATCAAAAGGATTCCCATCATACGCTACAAAATTTGCAATTTTGCCTTTCATTAACCTTCTATTTCTCCCATCTAAGCCAAAAATTTCTTCCAAGTTCCATGAAATAAACCCAAACGCATCTTTTTCGGAAATAACCCCTCTAGAATTTATACCTGCCCAGCCAGCATCCCAAATTAAATTTCTTTCCATACCTGATTCTATTACACTTATTCCTACTATAACTTTATTCGCATGAAGTATCTCAATTCCGGTTGTATTGGTAATAGGCGCTCCTGTTAATGCATGTTGAGCTGTCCATGACTTTGGAGTTGGTCGGGATGGGATAAGTATTACAGGTATTTTATGTTTAGACAATTCAACAGCAACCATATGTGCTTCAGTACCACCCAATATCACAAGTTTTAAATGTCCTCCATTGTTTTCAATTTGAATTTTCAATCGGATCAATGAAGCAATCTCATCTTTGCTGTGAGTTCGTACTACTAAAGGGATATCTCCTCGTGCAGCACGACCAAAGATATTATGTTGCTTTAGATTCTTTAACAAGGTTTTTCTTATCAAAGCAATCTGACCCGAGACTGTCGGTATGGTGGCTGTTCATTAAAAATGATTTCATGAATAAGTAAATAACAAAATTAAATAGATATATAATTATAATAATTTATATTACTATATTTGAATTCAGTCCCTATCTGGGCATGAAGTGCTACATGTTCCTTAACAATCGGGTTAGGATCATAATCTAGAACTTATTAAAGTAATAAAAACATCTAGTGAGCACTTGCTAACAATCGTCAAGATAAAATTCTTTTAAAAATATTATACCAGAACTAGCACCGGTTTCAAATGCCATAGAAACCCCAATAAAAACGCCTTTAGACGCGAGAGGTGCTGTGACGGCAGTAAGTATTCCAGCCTTATACGCGGCCTCTAAATGTTTGCCTCCCAATTTTAATCCATCGATTGCGTAAATAATTTTTTCAGCGTCGTTAGGATTGGACACAGCTGTCACTCTACCATCTGTTGTGGAGGATTCACTATCAATCTCTGATAATCCTAGAGATGGCGCAACAGCAATGAATCCCTTAAATTGAATAGGTTTATGTTTATTATTAGAACTTCAAATTTTGCAAAATACAATATTTAAACCAAAAAACCTACTGGTAATACGTATCCACCATTTAAATCAATTACTTCATACGATGAAATATGATCTGGTTCTGTACAATTAATACCAATACATTCAACAATGCCATCTTTAACTATTAAGCTAATATCTCCTTGTGTTGATGAAGTGGTATCAATTATATGGTTCTTATCAACATAAATCTTGCCAACATTTTTTAACACAATAGAAGAGGTTAATTGTGATTTAGCAGGCTCTCGTGTAAAATTTGACTTCGGAATAAATTTTGATGGGATTTGTTTCGATGAATCGTTTCCAAGTACACATGATGAAGTGTTAAATTGAGGAATTCCATCGATATAAACTTCTAATGGAGTTGCACCCAAATCAAGTGGATAAGAATCCCAAACCTAGTCATAAAATAATCATAAATAAAAACACATATTTATAAAACTCAATCTACATTTATACATTGCATATCAATTTATCCATATTACCACAACATCAGCGTCATATCCCTTTGAAATTTGACCAATGCGATGATCTAAACCAAGCGCCTTTGCAGGCACTGATGTAACGGATGCAAGGGAAAGATGTTCATCAAGACCATAATAATTTGCCTTGGAAGCTTCAAACATCAAAGTTTGCTATAATTAAAATATAGTATTTTAGAGAGATTTCAAGAAATAAACAATATATAATAATAATAATTATAATAATAATAATAATCTACCGCATTATTAAGAGGCGATGTGAAGCTGAATGTCCACTGTTATGAGGTTTGTGGTTATTGTAAAATTTATAACCAATGTTTAAAAAATTCTAATATAATATTCTTATATAGACCACTGATATAGAAGCAATTATTCGACATTCTTTGGAATTTAATTTTACTATTACAGCTTTTCATCATGCACTGAATGCTTATCGTATTACTGAAATTATTAAAAAACGTGTAAAAAATAATATTACTATTGCGACATTTTCTGATCTTTGGGGCTTCAAGAAGGAATCATTTCAAGCTAGTACAAAGTCTCCGAAAATTTTAGCAGATGCACACATTCCTGTAGCCCTAAAATCCGATCACCCCGTAACAAATGCGGTGAATTATTATTATTATTATTGAAGTCTTAAGACAAAATAAATACTAAATTATTATATTTTAATTATAGCAACATTTGATATTTGAAGCTTCCAAAGCACATTATTATGGTCTTGATGAACATCTTTCCCTTGCAGCCGTTACATCAGTGCCCGCAAAAGCGCTTGGTTTAGATCATCGCATCGGTCAGATTTCAAAGGGATATGATGCTGATGTTGTGGTAATAATGGATAAATGGACATGTAATGTGAATTGAGTTTTATAAACATGTATTTTTATTTATGATTATCTTATTATTAGGTTTGGGATTCTTACCCACTTGATTTGGGTGCAGCTCCATTAGAAGTTTATATCGATGGAATTCCTCAATTCAACACTTCCTCATATGTACTTGGAAATGATATATCAAAACAAATCCCATTAAATAATATAAATGTACCTAAACCGAAGTCAAGTTTTACACAGGAGCCTGTTAAATCGCGCTTAGCATCCTCAGTTGTGTTAAAAAATGTTGGCAAGGTTTATGTTGATAAGAACAATATAATTGATATTACTTCATCAACACAAGGAGATATTAGTGTAATAGTTAAAGATGGCATTGTTGAATGTATTGGTATTAATTGTACAGAGCCAGAATATATTTCATCATATGAAGTAATAGATTTAAATGGTGGATATATATTACCAGTAGGGGTTTTTTTTTTTTTTTGAATTTTGCAGATTTTGAAGTTCCATTAATAAATCTAAACCTATTCAAATTTAAGGGATTCATTGCTGTTGCATCATCTCTAGGATTATCAGAGATCGCTAGAGAATCTTCCACAACAAATGGTAAAGTGACTGCTGTATCCAATCCTCTCAATGATGCAGGAATTATTTACGCAATCGATGGATTGAAATTGGGAGGTAAACATTTAGAAGCCGCGTATAAAGCTGGAGTGTTAACTGCAGTCACTCCGCCTCTCTCAAATAAGGGCGTGTTTATTGGCGTTTCTATGGCATTTGAAACCGGTGCTAGCTCTGGTATAATATTTTAGGAATATTATCTTGACAATTGTTAGCAAGTGCTCACTAGATGTTTTATTTCTTAATAAGTTCTAGATTATGATCCCGAACCGATTGTTAAGGAAGAAGTAGCACTTCATGCTCAGATAGGAACTAAATTCAAATATAGTAAATATAAATTTATTAATATAATAATATATAACCCGGTATATATATATATATATACTTCATTTATTCATGAGATCCTTTTTAATTAATAGCCACCATACCGACAGTCTCTGGTCAGATTGCTTTGATTAGAAGAACCTTGATAACACATCTATCGCGAAATACTATCTTTGGTCGTGCTGCACGCGGAGATATCCCTTTAGTAGTACTAACTCACAACAAAGATGAAATTGCTTCCTTGATTCGGTTGAAAATCCAAATTAGAAAAAATGGTGGACATTTAAACCTTGTAATATTGGGTGGTACTGAAGCGCATATGCATGCTGCTGAATTGGCTAAGCATAGAATACCCGTAATACTTACCCCACCTCGACCTGTTCCAACGTCATGGTCGGCTCAACATGCGTTAACAGGTGCACCTATTACTAATACAACAGGAATTGAAATACTTCATGCGAATAAAGTTTTGGTAGGAATAGGTGCATCGGAATCGGGTTTGGAAAGAAATTTAATTTGGGATGCTGGCTGGGTAGGAATAAATTCTAGAGGGGTAATTTCCGAAAAAGAGGCGCTTGGGTTTATTTCGTGGAACTTAGAAGAAATCCTTGGCTTAAATAGAAGAAATAGAAGGTTAATGAAAGGCAACATTGCAAATTTTGTAGCGTATGATGGGAACCCTTTTGATATGAGTACAAGAGTGAAAGTTGTTGCTGGAGGTGGTAAGAGTGAAATTCTTATTAATCCTCAACAAGATTAGTAAGATATGAAGATATTTAATGGTTGCTAAAATATTTGCATGTTTTTGGGTAGTACTGGTAGCACCTGTATATATATTTATTTTTTTACAGTACAATAAAAAAGTTCAACATTTAATGATATTTCAAGAAGACGTTATTCTTTAATTGATGGCGAAATAATAAACATTAACTATTAAGGGCAGTGACATTTATTACCTAATATCCATTTACTATAGAGGTACTCCCGGATCATATATATGATATTTTGACCAATAAAACACTAAGGTAATGTTTTGCCTTTGCCCAATAATGTCATATAATCTGTTATGACTTTAATTTCTGGTTAATCATCGTAGATTTTTAGATCTCGCTAATCATTGCTGCATTGCATTTATAAACTAGATTGCTGATCTATATTATATTCGTTATTGGCAACAGTAAAGCAAGGTTGGTCATTATTGCACTTTGCAAAAAGTTGTGACCTCTGCAGATCACAATATCGCGTGAAAATCAGAGATTCTGTAGATTTTAAGAATCTTATCGATTTCAAATAAGTATAAATATAACTGATCGAAAATATGAATTAATAGACAATCTAGAATCTCGGAAATTTTCCTCTTTCATCATCACAAAAATCATGGGATCACATCTTTTTGCAAAGCGTTATAATACGTAACACACCATATTACCATGTACGTAACAGGATTATCTACTCTTGATTATAAGTTATCATTGATCTCATAATGAATTTAAAAATATTGAAGCGATTGGAAAATAGATTTCAACAGTATATTATGCAAATGGATGAATCGAACTGAAGGATTTAATAAAATCGAATATTTTGCTCTTAAAGTAATTCATAGTTTTAAGAGTTTTTGATAAGGTATTTTTTTTTTTTAATTTCTTGAAACTTGGAAATTTTAAATAATTTTTTCTTAACCTTTATATTTTAAAAGTTAAAAGCATATTGTGAACCTTTTGTATTATATATCTTCTGATCACTGGTTAAAAATCATATATTAACTAAATAATAACGGGACACTTTAAGAACAGTTAACCCAGTGATCAACAAATATTTGATAAACATATCATGATATCATTTGTTTACCAAAATTAAATAGCCTGGCTTAAACTATGCACCTAAACTAACCCTAAACTAACCCTAACATAGGAATAATAGTCATGTGATATTGTGATGATCACTGGGTTAACTTTTCTTCCCTAAATAAAAATAGATTAAACTACATATATGCCTAGTAAATATATACCATATATATACTATTTAGTTAAAATATGATTTTTTTTTACAAGTGGATCTTGCAACGATCCATTCTTAAAGGTTTGTGCATCGAGATTTAAGTTATGAAAATTTTGCAAAATGAATTACGTACGCATATATTGCAGAATTGAGGCTTGCGAAAGAGAGTAGAATTTATAGTATGTTGCATAAATGGTTCTACAATGTTAACTATTTATACGAATATCCGATGCCTATGCATTTAGAATTATCATTTGATGCAAGTCTTGCGATAAAAATTTGTAATGGATTGCAACTAGTGACCGCCGGGTGATGGTCGTGATGGGCGGTTCGGCCCTCAGCCTGCATTTTTCGTGGCTTGGCCGATCGATAAAAGATAGGTTAGAATCGATTCTCCAAGAAATTGAATGTAAATATTCATTAATTGATTAATTTGATAATAAATTGAACATAAAATATGTAAATATTCGGGTACGCTCGGTGCATAGACAATTAATTAACATCAAAACTGACGTATTGGAATTTCTCAGACAAAAAAAATAATAAAAACTAAATAATTTAGTATCACTAGAATTTGGTAAGGAACTACCTGATATTTTTAAATGTTTGAAATAGATATGGTGACTAATTCTGATTAATAAAATTGTACTAGTAAAAAAGTCGGCTTGGTCGACCGGCCCAAGATTTTTATGATCGAACTTCGTCTAATAATTTTTTCATCGGCCCGTATCACTATTTGCGATCTGAATTTATTAATAAAATTCCAGAATATTATATTAATTTATCTAAAATTTATGGATAACGATTCGAAAAAAAATGACTAACTGATAATTAGTGTAATCTCAAATTAATATTTGGATTGGTGTTAATAGCTTAAATGATAAAAATGGTATCAAAAAACGTTTCTTGGATGCTGATAAAATGTTTAAATTACTACAAAAAACTTTGTCCTATAAATATAATATGCAAATATATATATATAGTTATATTAGTGTTAAGTAAAATGTATACTATATATATTTATATGTCCTAATAAATAAATAAATAAATATATAAATATATAACGGTTTTAAGCTAACATGCTCAGGAGCACATAATTAATAGTACATTTATATAGAGTTTGAAACCCAGTTTATGTACGTGGTTCGAAACAGTGTTCGAACGGGTTTCAAAGCACAAACTAGCAGGTTTAAGCAGGATAACATCCCTACTTTTCTCTATGGGATCGGCGTTACTGTTCCAGTTGGGAAACCCGGATCCAACTGGTTTGTTGCAGGGCGATCGGCATTTAATTCTTCCTGGTCACGGCACCGTTGCACGACGCTTGTTCGTACGTCGTCATAGTGCTTCCCGCGTTGGTCTTGCACGGCCTAGGGTCGGGTTTGCCTCTAACAATATATTAGCTAAAAGTATATGAATTATAATTCATTGAACTCTTAATGAATAAGTAATTGTTTAAATCATAATTTTTTAGTCAATTTATATAAAATTTTCAAATTAAAAAATATGGTTAAATAATATTCATATAATATAAAGTTCTAAAAAATGAAATCCATTTATTGCAATTTACAAAATTCTGGTATAATTAATTAAAATCAATTTGTATCTTTTTAAAGGCAGGTCAATAAAAATGGGTCGAATGATCAAAAAAATGTGATTAAAATTACTCTTTAATAACAACCCGGGTAGTTATGAAATTTTTAAAAATTTAAAATTATTTCAACAGCTAAGAAAAATTTTGACTTTACAATTAGTAAAGTTAAAGCTGTTATAACGAAATCCTGTAATGTCTTGTTGAATTTCTTGTGGAATAGACGAAATCGAGATCAGGTAAGTGTATTGGCCTGGCTTTCATCGTTTTTATCATAATTCGTATCAATATTTTCGTTATCGTATTCTTTGGTCAATTATATTGCTATCGCCATCATCTTTGTTGCTTTCTTCGGTTCCATTATTATTACATTCTTGTAAATATAAAGACGTAAATTAAATGTATACGTATTGTATAAAAATATAAAATAAATATAAAAAAGTATAAAAGTTTGTGCGTTGAGTGGTACTACAATTTTGATTTATTGTTGTTCATTCTACGAGCGGTAATATTCGTAGCTGATAGCAGTTTGAACATCTTTACGAAGGGAGTAGTTGGCAATTCTTTTACTAACACAAGTTTTTTTCTGTTGATTTTTTATGAACGTTGGATAAAACATCGCATGTTAAATGAAAATTGGTAGCTTTTATAAAGAATCGACTTATTTTGTTTTATTTTTATTTTATTATTATTAGTATTTTATTTTAGTGCTGCTGCTATGTTATAAGATATTTGGATTATTTAATTTGATGACATTTATTATTTAATTTAATAAAATTTTATATATAAAGGTTTTAATTACGTACGAACTAATAGTGTATTTTATCATGTGAGAGGTCAGAATATTAATTAATAATATCTTGGGTCACTGTGTGTATTAATGTATTGGGTCACTGTGTGTATTAATGTATTGGGTCACTGTGTGTATTAAAGTATTGATCCACTAATACCCAACTACCCAAGATATTATTACGGAGACTTTAATTTCCTGTAATTATTAACTGACGGAAAAAACAGGTCAACCGACCCAATTTCAGATTTCATGTTGCTCCTGATAATACGTTTTATTAATAGTATCACCCATAATCAATTATTAGCTTTATTATATCAAAAATTTTACCCAAACAAATATTTTCAATGTAAATTCTAATTTAAATCCAAAAAATCCCATAAATCCCATTATATTATTTTAGCTTTTATATATTCATTACTCTAAACAAAAACTTTATATTTAATACACTATATGAATTCCTAATTATAATTGACCATCACCAATATCTTTTAGATCACAATGCCACGTATTATTATCTCTTTCTTGAGGTTTTCCCTTATACGTATACCAATCATCTTTATTACGTTTTCCATTACATCCATAAACAGTATCAAATTTATAACCAAATTCTCTTGCTATTTTTATAGCAGCTGGAACAAAATCAGTAACAGTAGTATTAATTCTATCATGATTTAATACTATGTGATGTAGCGTATCATTAATTTGACTTGGAAAAATTTCTATTATAGATGTTACATTATTGGTAGCCCAATCTCTGGTATCAACATCCCAAAGAATAATTTCTTCATATCCAGCATCTAATAAATTTTTTCTTACTCGAGGGTGAATAGTAGCTTCTCCAAATGGGTTTCGGAAACATTTTGGGAATATACCAAGAATTCTTTCAAATGCTTTATTTAAATGTTTAATTTGAAAATCGATACTTTCATCGGATTCAGTACCCAAATGAGTATGTGACCATGTGTGATGACAGATTTGATGGCCTTCTTTGAATATTCGTTTTAAGATATCAGCAAAGTCGTATATACAATATTGGGCTTGATTATGACCGTTGACGAAGAAAGTAGCTTTTATATCGGCTTCTTTTAAGATATCGAGCAACTGCGAAGTAAACTGCAAAAAAAAAAAAAAAAAATTTAATTTAATATAATGATATCTTAAAACATAATTCTAAAGTCTAACGTACCTCATGTGGACCATCATCAAAAGTAAATGCCAAAGTTTTATTAAACTTGCATGTTTCAATAAGTTTTAAACCATCATTTGGAATACCACAATCACCATAATCTGTTTGACATCCTGTTCCACAATGTGCTATTATATAAAGATAATTTTTAATTAAAATCTGGTATTTAAAATCAATCAATCAAATAATGAAATTTATATACCTGTTGTACCACCGCAAAAACCCTTAAACGAACAACAATCGTAGGGTCTACATGAATAAGTAATATTACCAGTATTATTACCACATGTACCATCTTGTGTGACTGGAAAGCGAGAAGTATAATTCTGAGGAGAAGTATTATTCATTTGAGGAGAAGTATTATTCATTTGAGGAGAAGTATTATTCATTTGAGGAGTATTGTTCATTTGAGGAGGAGAAGAATTGTCATATTGAGGAGGAGTATTATCCATTGGAGGAGGAGTATTGTCTATTGAAGGAGAAGAAGAATCGTCGTATGAGGAAGGAGTATTGTCATATTGAGCAAATGCACATAAAATGTTCATGGTGCATAATAAAATGATTAATAAATTTATTTTCTCCATCTTGCGATTTAGGTTCGGTATGATGAAGAGCAAAGTAAATTTTTTTTTCTGACCTTTAAATAAGAAATCGATTTCATGTTAACGTGTCATCATAACGCAGAAAAAAAAAGCCATCTGAAACGAACGATAACTTATATAGGATAGTATACCGGAGATTTCCTAAAAATGTATGGTGTAGAAAATATAAATTGGAATTAATTAATTGTTAGAAGTTCTGCATGTTATTAACGTTAATTACCTGAAAATCGATTTTTCCATTCTGGTAATAGTGACCAGATTAATGGATTAAATTATTATCCGTGATTAGGGGCCTATTCAGCGGTTCATGTATTATATATAAATTTAGGGACAGCAAGCCTTTGTTTAGTTTAGTGAATTTTATGTATCAAATGAAATAAAAGTTATTAAACTAAATAAAGGCTTGCTGTCCCTAAATTTGTATATAATACATGAACCGCTGAATAGGCCCTAGGTACGTACACACTAAAGTGAACTGAAATATGTGAAGTGCATGTATGTGCATATTGGCTTGAAACCATACGTGCATATATGTATGCTGTACCCCATATTGGAATCGTCCCGATTCAGAATTGGCTGCCTCAAATAGAATATTATCGTTATTGGCAGAATTAGAACTTTAAGGTTAGAATTAGAATTAGAGTTTATAATAATAAAAAAAGTGTTTGTTAGTATAAGTTTGCAGAGAGTACAAAAATTTATCCGGGAACTCCCTGATTCAAAATTGGGGTAATTTCATCCGGGGCACATGTATATATAGTCTAAAACAAGCTGTAAAGATTTAAATTTTAAATGAATTTAGTATAGTAAGCGTTAGCTTTAAGAAAGACTTTTTTTCTAAAATATTCACTTCGTTATAAAGAAAGATGATGCAATTTATAGAGTATGCAATGTGCATAAATGTTATATTTCGTGTATCGTAGTATAATAAAGCAATATTCTTATCTTTTATGTATAATATTATAATAAAGCAATATTTTTATCTTTCGTGTATTATATTATAATAAAGTAGGATTGAAATTTGCTTTACGGTTTCTAAATGAAGATGGTAGTTTAACAGTTGACTTGTAAGCATTCAAATATAGGGGTGATAAATATCTCAATAATATAATTTATTCTTTAATTATTATTTAACAAGTGAAGCTAAAAAAATGGCAAATTATACTGTATATGTAATTATATAATAATAAATTTTAATGACGTAAATAAGCTTGACCAAAGTCATTTCAGAAAGGCAAATGCATTTAAT